GGGCCACATCTGGTGGTGTGCAGGGAGAAGAGAGGGGAGGAGACCAAACATTTCTTTTGTTTTATTTTAATAATATGTTTGATTTCTCTATATACTATTAAGTACCTTCCAGGTCCATCCATAAAATTGATGAGAATTTCACATTTTATGTCTCCTTTATAACTTTAACTGAGAAGTATTCCATCTTATAGAAATACTACATCTTTATCCAGTTCTGCAATGATGGATGCTTAAATGGAAGAAATCTGAGTTTTTTTTTACCAGGGCTTAGAATGTATGCTTCAGAGAAAGAGAAGATAAGTTAGGACTTAGAGAAATACACCATTCCATTTCTTACTAAAGCCATCTAACGTGACACTTATGTGGTGTCATTTATATATAATATCATCTAAAAGCATTCCCTAAAGAGACAGGAGCAATCTTTTTCTTCTCATCACTGTTTAGTGTCCACAGATGACAAGGGTAAGCACATCATTAGAGTTTAAAAAAACTCATTTTTTCTCATAAGATCAGATCTCAATATCTACATTGATACATGGATGTAGAAACAAACCATTCAAATTCCTAAAGGAAAGTTTTTATAAATCTTTTTCTCTATGCCTTCACTATCAACTCAGAAACTGTGGGACAGACTTAGTCATTGTATTTTAAAAGGAGGCAAAAATTAAATTTCAACATGGATGTCTTGGTGGAAACCTACATTTCTACCTTGGTGGAAACAACTGTACTCTTTGTAGAGTATGAGGTAATCGACTGTAAGATGGTCTCCAGGTTGTATGTCACTTGACAGTTCTGGCCTCAGAGCCAGAATACAATTTTTTGTCTAAAATTCGCTAAATTGGGTATGAAAATCAGACATGAAATGTCTAAGACACCAGGTAAATTCATGTTTTAAGAACTTCTGGTTTTTCTCACCTAATATTTTTAGTCTTTTAAATCATGAATCTCACCTTATCTAATAATCATTTATATCTAATCACTTCCTTCATTCTGCTATTTAAAACTAAGACAAAATCTATGAGGAAAATTAAAATTTCAGTTACTTCTCTTCACTTTATCTCTAAAATCATAAGATATTTATGAAAATGAGTTATAATTCTAATAAAAATCCTCATGCACAGTATATGAACTATGAGAATAATTGCTAGTTGTTTTTTGGGGTTTTGTTTGGTTTGGTTTATTTAGGTTTGATTTGTTTTGGGCCATGCCCAGCAGTACTCAAGACTAATTTCTGGCTTTGCACTCAGGAATCACTCATGGTGCGCTCATGGGACCACATGGGGTGCCCGGGATTGAATCTAAGTCAAGGACATGCAGGACACCATCTTACCTGTTGTACCCTCTAGCCCACAATTAGTATTTATTAATAATAATGATACATGCTAAGTGTTGTTCCAAATGTCTAATTTTAATCAGAATTCTCTGATTGGTGCTATTTATACCATTTTTCTCATTAACAAAAATGAGACATGGTTTACTTAGTCACAAACCAAAGTTTCAGAAGCTAATACTCTCAGCTATAATAATGGGTCATCAGAACTCTGGAAGTTTGGAGCTGTTCCTTTTACAAATGCTATAAAACAATTTTTAATCATTCAATAATTCTCTAAAAATTCTGGAGGATGGAGGGAAGATCAATTGTCTTAGAAATTCATATTTCTATGAATACATTGATTATTTGAAGACTCTTAAGCTATGCTTTGATGTATTCAAGGAGCAGAATCCATTTGGATGTAACATGAGAACATTAGCCCTCAGTAAGCCTTTGCTTTATGAACTTCCACATTTATAAATAAGTATACAATTCAGCATGTCTTTATTGAAAACTATCAGGTACATTGACACTAAAAAACTTTTGGCAGCCATTTCAAAATAGCTGGTCCCAGAATGCTACCATGTTCATTATGTACATTTACTGTACTGAATCACTCCACTGTCGAAATCTACTCTGTGTCTCCCATCAGGAAGAAGTATTGATAGGCACACTGCTCATGTGACATGTCTGGGGACAATACAAAGTGACATGACCCAAGGTGATGAAGACAAAACCTACGGCTTTCTTAGAGTCCCCTCCACTTCCTGCCACATATATTAATATGTATTATATCCTGCCTTGGCATTTACAGGCAGAAAAAAAAAACAAATATTTATGAAGCTATATCCATCAGCACCACCAATGGTCTACCTGAAATTATGTCAGCTTACAGATTGACTTGTTCCCAGTAGGTGTACAGTCAACACCATTTCACCTTCAGTTCTGGTTCCAGGGCATCATCCCATGCACTAATTCACAAAGACCTAAGGGCACAGGTAGAGTTTTCTGGTTGAATTTTCTCCATTAAAAGGAAGAAGCAGTAAAAGAAGAAACAAATTTTATTTCTACTTAGGACCAAGATAAACAGGAAATAAACATTTTATGTACAAATATTATGTGCACATTGTGGCTGCTAAAGCAGTTTTCCGAAGTAGTAGAAGCATTTGTGTCCCTCACCCTATAGAGCAAAAGCTCACCAACAGGATGATGAATAGATCATCTTACTTTCTACTTTGTGTTATATTTAGAATAAGAATTTATGATTGTACAATGACCAAACTCATAGCAAATACATCAAACTATTGATATAATACATTATTGTCCTAAATGTAGAAAATTCTCAATTGACACCAATATAGGCTATCTGGGGAGTCATTCCATAATTTCCAATATGAAATTTTAATTTCCCTAGATATTAGGGAAATGTCTTACAACTTCTAAAGATATTTTCTCCTTACTCATAAAAATAACTTTTTCCAAAAATAAATAAATATTTTCTTCAGAAACCATTCTGCATGTAGTCATGTAAATTCTTCAACCAAAATTCATGAACAAAACTGTATTTTCAGTACTAAAACTAAACTGCAAAGAGTTTAATCCCTCCTTGAAGATGAAGATATTTAAGATATCCCTGGGATCCAGGAATTTTATTTTCATCTCAATTCCTTCTTTTAGTCTTTTTTAATTAATTTATTTTCATTGAGGTCCTGTGGTTTACAATAATTCTATTAACGATGATTTCTTGTGCACATAATTCTAACACCACAACCATTACCAGTCTTATCATTTCAATTTGCAGCACATAAAAGAAATGTAAACACAGCAGCTAACCAGAGAGTGATGTACTGATAGATTTTTTCAGTCCTGGACTTTGCGAAAAAATACCCCTCAAAGGTTCCTTGCACTTTTGAAGTGGAAGAAAGAATTTAGTATAAACTCTTCAACACTGACTAACCAAACCAAAAAAACAAAAGAGAAAGATATTTCTCTAAACCTATACTGTTACTTGCCTCATATGTACTGTAAAAATCTACCTAGAAAACTAAAATAAAGACCAATATAAATTTCAAGTCCCATGGTGGAAATCTGGAATAAGACAGAGTTTCTCTTTTGACTGATGAATGAGAATATTTGTTCTCCTTTAAAAAAATCTCTATTGCCTTTTCAAGAGAGATAAAAGCAAAAGACATAAAATAATGACTTTAGAATAGATTTCCATTTTTTTAAAAAAATATGCTAGATCAATGGAATTACTGTATAATTAGCTACATGAAATTTGGTTATAAATAAAGAAATCAATAAGACAAGAATATCACATTAATGAAAAAGAGTTCTTTTTCAAATCCCTGTCTTTACTAATGTTTCTTCTGTCAATTAATACTGTCTTCCTTATAGGATAGTATAAATGCCAGGCAAATTTCCAAAGGAATTGAGTAATAAAATATATTTTGAGGGAAAGAACAAAAAAGAGAAAAGAAAGAAAAGAAAGAAGACAGGCTGAAACAAAGGATAGAGAAAGTAAAAAAGAAGCATCTTTAAAAGAGCTACCAGAACTTGAATTAAGAATGGAATTATGTTTTTCTCACCAAGTCTTAGTCTTGGCAGGTTTCTGCTAAAATGCAGGAATTTCATGGATGTGGAAACCAGTGATGAAAAATGCATTATTATACACAATTGTGGTACTTGAAAGAAACTATATGGGAGGAAAAAAATATAACACCCAAGAATAAATACAAATGAAATTCATGTATCAAAACCAATACTGTGAAAATAGTTTAAATGTTTCTTGAATTTATATCTAGTCATTAACCTAAATGCAGATTTTAGTTCATGCCACCATTCTGCCTCATGGTCAGAAGGCCTGAAAACCTGTGGCGTGGAAAATTGGCAGGATAAAGAATATTGAATTGGTCTCTATGGAAAAACAGATTTTGGCAGCCATGACTCCCCAAAGCAGGTGACCCCTCCCCTCTTTAAAGCTCTCTGTTTTCCTCCTGTCCAGGAAAGAGGCCTTAATTTCCCTAAACACCAGCTGCTGCCCACCTGCCCAGAAACACACACTGTGCTCCTTGAATCTCATGGTGATAGTGAGTGCCCCAAGACCGAGACGGAAGCCTGGGTTCATACTCTTGGGCACAGGGAGCAAAGTTTCCACTCAACAGAGAAGTCAGAGAACGAGGCAGGTGGAGACATGAGTTCTACGCCGTGCGTTTAAAAGCTATCGTGATCCACCACAAAGATGCTCACTGAGAAGTCCCTAAGATCTGTTCCTTTTTTCCTGCCTCCACTTCTAGCGCCCTCCAGTTTTCACCCCAGATTTTGTGTGGTTGCCCTAAGGAAAGCAGACTTTCCCTCAGATTTTTTTTAATCGAAAGGGAAATGTCCAGGCACTTTTCCAAAATCATTTCTCCACCCGGACGGATCACCAGGGCAGGCCCAGGGCAGGCCGGCTCATCCACCCAAACTCTCCCCAGCCCAGGATCTTTCTGCAGCCCCGTGCTCTGGAGAACAGCAGCTCCTTCCCGTCCATCTCATCCCCACCTGTCTCAAACCCCAGGGCTCCTAGGGGAGAGATTTCCCGCACGCCCTGCAGTGGGTTGGGCCCCTTGCATGAGTCCCAGCCGTCTGTCGCGTGCGCGCCTATGCCTCTCCCTCTGGTTTCACCTGCTCTTTTCTCTCTTTGCAGCTGGTTAATAATCCGCTAGCAAGTCAGGCTGCAGCGGCTGTAGCGGCAGCCATGGGCTCCATAGCCAGCTCACAGGCCTTTGGCAATGCCCTCTCCAGCCTTCAGGGGGTCACGGGTCAACTAGTTACTAATGCACAAGGACAGGTGAGTGGGAGATGGGAAACAAGAGTGCATTTTTATGGCAGATTGATCTCGGAAAGGAAATGAATTTCTTTTGCATGACAGTGATATGTAACTGCGTCTGTTTGAGGCAAATAAATAATGTTTACTAGCAATGTCAAGAATAGGAAAAGGGCTGGGAGGTGTTTCTATGTTTCAGAAGGCAGATTTTTTTCCTTCCCCAGGATAATCTAAGTTTTATCTTCTGTCTGTATGATAGTTTATGTTATCACCTTAATTGAAGAAAACACTTTTCATGAGTGGGACATTCTTTTTTTTTAAAAATTTTATTTAGAATGTTTGTTTTGCTTTTAGTTCTGTTTTTTTTTTTGCTTCTTTTCACTTAGCTGATGAGTAAACTTTGAATCTTCCTCCCTGATTGCTCAAATATTTCTAAATAAGCCTTAAAGGCAGTTTCTGAATGTGATGGGATATTACTGATGTTCTCAAAACACAAAGAAGGGAATGGATGAGTCAGGGTGAAGTCAATTGAGGCAGCGATACCTGCCCAGCTCTGCTGATTCTCAGCACATCTGGCCTCCCCCAGAGACTGTGGGTTTACTGCAGTTGGCCAGGCCAAAGGACTACCACTGCCATGTCCCCAATTTACACACAAAGGCACCCAGGGCACAATCACCAGGACTGTGAGAGCTTTCAGGTATGAGTGGCTCCTTCAGACCCTCCTAGGTGCTGCAGGAAAAGCAAGGGTGAAATTCATGTGCCAGACATTGGGGTGGAGGGGAGGGAAATGCAGAACTCATCTTCATGGCTCGGGCACCTCATTCTCAAATGTCGCTGTTTCTGGTGAGTAAACACCAGGGGAAAGGAGCTTGCACTCCACGCCCAGTCTTCCTCCTGGAGCGACTTAGCCAATCACGTTGGGGCATCGTGCTTGGCCTGCTCTGTGGAGAGCAGAATTGCGATGTCTTGAAGCTTGTTTTTATTTTACATAGAGTAAACAGAGATGCATTCTAAGCTAAACCATCTCCATCTACATCCCCAGGGGAAAAAAAGCTGACCTTGTTATATTTCCTGGGCTGGTTGTAGGATTGTCCCGTCAGAATCCCAAGGGCTGAACGATGGAGCTTGTCAAAGAACGGCCCCAGGTAATGAATCATCTTATCACAGAGCACACCACACATATTAAAGGAGGGTTTTGTGAATATCATGCCCTCCACTGTAACCTTTCAATGTCAGCTTTAACCCTTGCTCCAATCCCTTTTCATTCAAGGATCATTTTATGCAGCCCACTCTTAAAAGAGGCTGTCATAAGCCTAATAAGATTTCTGGAAGGATGGGATATTGGCATGGTGGAAGAGATGATTATAATATCTATAACTTATACCCAGATGTGATCAGTCCTAGAAGATTTTTCCTAGAGTTGTGCCTCAAACAGAACACTGATTTATTCCTGCCAGGCTGCTGACCCCAGAGATGTAAATGTTAAGATTGGAGAAGGGGAAAAAAAGATGTGCTTGATGTGTGACATGCATTTTCTTCCTATTTTTCTGTTCCAATGTCTGAGAAAATGTGCCTCACCACTTGAATATCTGTGATAGAGAAAATGCTTTATTGTTTTCAGGACTTCTTAGCAGATTATTCTTATGATCAGATGGCTAATCATCTTGCCTTACAAACCCATCCCCTTTCCAAGGGCTAAAATCACAACCTTTGCTTTGTTAATCTTTATCCATTTATAGCCCTAGAATGATATCTCCCTTTGCTCAGAAACACTCATAAGAAAATGATCTTTGAAAAACACCTGATTAGTGTCAGGAGTGTGTCTCAGTGGTAAAGCACATGTTTCTCATATATGAGGCTCTGGGTTTGATCCCTGACATAAAAAAAAAGGCTTGCTTAGTACTATGCAACTGACCAAGAGTTGGTTTACTTTAAATTTTATTTATTTTTGAACTATTTTGATAGCTTATTTGCCAGAGTGGAAAAATATTACATTTCCAAGGAAACCAATAGCGCCCACTCAAACTTTTGTCTGAGAGTTGCAGAAATCTGCCCAATGGCACCATGCCTTCTGCTCACATAGGAAGAGCCCAAGACACTCACCTTTCCAGCCATGAATTGGCCACATACATGTAAAACTATGAGATCATCACACAACAGTCAGCCCAGAAAATGCTGCACTGTACCCAGTAACTTTTGTTTGCAGTTGAATTACATTAAAATAAAATGCCAAAAAAAAGTTATTCATTTTAAGAAAAGCATTTAGTTCCAAATCTTACCCAGGAATGTTAATGTTAATGTATTTTTAAATTATATTTTTATTAAACTTTTCTTGAGGTGGAAAGTAATCAGGTAATTCATGATCATTACTTATCATTTTTAATCAGTAATAGCTATAACAGAACTGAGATGAATAAAGGTAAAGGTAAAGGCCCTCCCGTTGATCGTTGATTTGCTCGAGCGGGCCCAGTAACGTCTCCATTGGAGACTTTGTTGTTACTGTGTCTGGCATATCGAATACTCTCGGTAGCTTGCCGGGCTCTCCGAGAGGGGCGGAGGAATCGAACTCGGGTTGGCCATGTTGGCCGCTTGTAAGGTGAATGCCCTACCCGCTGTGCTATCGCTCCAGCCCTGTGCTATCTTTTATTTTATTTTTATAAAGTTATTCACGATAATTTATTACACTCAATATTCCAACACCAATCTCACCATCATTACACCTTTCCTTCCTCATTATTTCTAATTTTCCCAACCACCACCCAAGCCTACTCCAATAATAGGCCCTAAATGATTTATTTTGTACTGCTTGTTACGATTAATTTGCTAAAGATGGTCAAAAAAGGGGCTGGAGCAATAGCACAGCGGGTAGGGCATTTGCCTTGCAAGCGGCCAACATGGCCAACCCGAGTCCGATTCCTCTGCCCCTCTGGAGAGCCCGGCAAGCTACCGAGAGTATCTCGCCCGCATGGCAAAGCCTGGCAAGCTACCCACGATGTATTTGATATGCCAAACACAGTAACAATTGTCACAATGGAGACGTTACTGGGGCTGCTCAAGCAAATCGATGAACAATGGGAGGACAGTGACAGTGACAGATCAAAAAATATTTCCTTAAGAAAAAGAGTGTGGTGACTGGAGCAATAGCACAATGGGTAGGGTGTTTGCCTTGCGTGCGAACAAGCCAGGTTTCATTCCAACAACCCATATGGTCCCCCGAGCACCACCAGGAGTAATTCCTGAGTGCATGAGCCAGGAGTTACCCCCGTGCATTGTTGAGTGTGACCCAAAAACAAAAAAAGAGAGAGAGAGAGAAAGTATGTAAAGATTGTAGTATCTCACCCTGAAGCTATTAAGCCCTTGTATAACATGTGGTTACAGTTTAAGCCTTGTGCATTAATATTGTCTTAATCAAGATTGGTTGCCTTTTACTTTACATTCCACCCAATGTGGTGTACTACTCCTGGTATATCAGTGGTGTAGCATATGAGATGTTGTGCAACAGGAATTCTAAAATTTTTATGAGGTGAATACAAATAGAGGTAAATTTTTAACTTGATGGTGACTTTGGGGTCCAGAAACATCTCTGCAGTTTACTGATCTCTTTCGTGATTTATTATGGGTATCTGTATCATAGCCAATTAATGAGTTTACATGGCGCCAGATGCAGTTCATGGGTGTGACTGCCAGGCTCCCAGAAGAACAGGGAGATGGGGAGAGGACACCCATCCCTGACTCCATGAAAGCCTGGAGATTTCAGTCACAAAACCTGCATACCTGATTTTTTCAACAAATTCATTCCTGGATGTGGGGATTGGCCATGAGCATGGCAGTAATTGGGTTCTAGAGGTTTTTGGCTGTCTGAGCTCTTTTTAAGTAGGTGAAGGGCTACTCAGAAGGGTGCCCAGGATATGAGACTCAGCCTGGCATGGGGTCTGGAGGATTTCTGCAGCTTACTGACCTCTTTGGGCATTTATTTATGAGTCACTGAGAATATTCCAATCCTCCTTGTTTACTGAATCAGTAATTCATACAGGTGTAAAAGCTAGGCAATTGAATGAGTTAAAAATTATGTGAGTCCGAAATTGGTTAAGAATCAACTCTGTGATCTTGAACAAATTACTTGAATTCTATGAGTTTTAATTGACTATAAAATAAGAATAATAAAACTAAGTCCATAGATGATTAGTATTAAATGATGTTTAAAAACAATTAAAATTTAAAAACTACTGCCAAGGTACTTGAGTAAACCTTTTAAAATGCAGTCTATTGTTACTATAGCGGGTAGGGCGTTTGCCTTACAAGCGGCCAACATGGCCGACCTGAGTTCGATTCCTCCGCCCCTCTCGGAGAGCCCGGCAAGCTACCGAGAGTATTCGATATGCCAGACACAGTAACAACAAAGTCTCCAATGGAGACGTTACTGGGCCCGCTCGAGCAAATCGACGATCAACGGGAGGGCCTTTACCTTACCTTATTGTTACTATAACTATCATCATTATTATGATTTAGAATCTTGTCTAGAATTTCCCAAAAACCTATATTTAGTTGTATGTATAGTAAAAAAGTAGACAGTAAACAGGCAAAGAACTCCAGAGCCAAATTACCATTTATCGCCGGTAAGACTTACCCTGGTGTCTCAATTTCTTCTTCTGAAAAATGGAGATAATAACGGTGCCAACTTCTAGGACAGAAGTGTTTAGAAGGGAGCCAGGCACAGAGTCATCATTCAGTTATATGCCTCTCAATGACCATGGTCTATAATTATTAAGATGCTATGTATTTTAGCCATTTTTGGTTAAAATACATACATGCATTTCATTCTTGTACAGAAATCTGCTGTGAGTATGAGAAGTTTGAGAATATGGGAGTTCTCAGGGTAGTAATAAAATCACTTAATCACAATTATGTGACTTTAGGGAAATCTTATCTTTGTCCTGCATAAGGGTGTGTATGTGTATATACTTCTAGCATTCAGTGGGCATGGTCAGGATTTGGCAAGTAGCTTTACCACTGATTGGCCCCAT